ATTGAAAAATCCTGTCTTCCTTCTCTTCCAAATGAAGCCTCTCTTCCTCATGTGATGTGATATGAGGAATCATCAGCAGTAGAGCACTTGCCAGCAGGCCCAAGGAACTTGGCTTGATCCCCAGCCCTGGAAATGTGGTGAGGGAGAGCAGTGTTCCCAGAATACAGCGCAGCATTGGATGGTTGTAGACACCTTCTCTGTGGCAGATACCACACTGCCAGTCAGTACATGCCTTTTCAGAAACAGGCACCTGAGTGCTTCTTAAGCCTAACATTTAATCCTTCCATTCTCGATGTCTGAAGTTGTCTCTTTATGTCCCACGTTTCAATTCTTCCACCGGTCTCTTTTCCTTTTGGCCTCTTCAGGCCATTTGCTTTGTCAAATAGTCTGTAGTTTTAATTTAGCTGTCTGATATGTTTGTCTCACCTGTACCACCTCTGTACTGTTCACCTAGATTTACCAATGTTCTCTATCCGTGTTCTCAAATTATCGCTGGTGGAAGGACTAGTTTTGTGTATTTGATCTTCAATCTGTTGCAGATCAATGATTTGATAAAGACTGATTCTTAGGGAGAAAAAAAAAGAAATTTGAAGAATCAAAACATGCAGAACACAAGCCCACTGTCTTTTGGTTTTAGTTTTTGGATTTTTGGGGCTTGGGGGGGTTGGTTTTTTTGAGAGGGAGGGTTAGTGTCAGTCCTGGGGCTTGAACTCTGGGCCTGGGAGTTGTCCCTGTGCTTTTGTGCTCAAGGCTAACACTCTAACTCTACCACCTGAGACACAGCTCTACTTCCAGCTCTTTGTTTTGTTTTTTGTTTTTGTCATTCATGGGGCTGAACTCTGGGCCTGGGAGCTGTCCCTCAGCTCTTCGGCTCAAGGCTAGTGCTCTACCACTTGAGCCACAGCACCACTTCTGGCTTTTATCTGTTTACATGGTGCTGGGGAATCAAACCCAGGACCTCATGCATGCAAGGCAAGCACTCAACCACTGAGCCAACTTCCCAGCCCCACTTCCAGCTCTTTGTTTTCCCCCATTTTGGTGGCTAACTGGAGAAAGGAGTCTCAAGGACTTTCCTGCCTAAGCTGGCTTTGAAATATAAACCTCAGATCTCAGGCTCCTGAGGACCTAGGATTACAGGCATGAGCCACCAGAGCCCAGCTCACTGTTTTAATTAGATCAACAGATTGATAAAACCTACTACGACATTGCTATAAAAGTTGCTAAAAGCATGCTCCACATTTTCACAGCGAGCTACACGGTAACAAATAGAGTGGTCTGAAAATTGTCCCATGTTACAGACACCAGTTGAATAGCACAGTTCTGCACTTGGAGGTGCAGAAATGCTTAACAACCTGAGGAAGGAAATCAGAAGAAGGGGAGTTGTCACTTAGATCCTTTTTACTTGTCTCTGAAAGGCAATCTTGGGTTGGGACTATAGATCAGTAGTAGAGCACTTGTGTGGTATGTTCAAGGCATTGGGTATTCAAGGCTCAAGGTTTAAGGTTCAAGGCTGCTGATTCAAAAAAAACCAATCAACCTCCAAGGTTTGAATTTCTCTTAAATTCCTGTTTGGTGACTGCAAGGTGCATCTTTGAGCCAACTCCAGTGGTAAAGTCTCAAAGCAAAGCAACTTCAACGTACCACATGGCAGACAGTTCAAGTTCTGTACTCCAAGTGGGCCAACTTCAAATTTTTATCACCTTTGAGTGTTAGAGCCAGACCAGCCTGTTGGAGAAACCATTTCTCCACTCTACCTGACACTAGTAAAATATGGTTGGCCTGTGGGGTGTGTTGGACCATGCAGGAGGCAGAGCTCAAGTCTAGCAATTGTACCAGAAGTAACAGGATCTAATCACCACCCCTCTCCCCATTACCATACCACAGCAAGAATTCCACTGCCCTTTACAGCAAAAGAAATGAAATGATTTGGGGCTGCAGCACCCAATTTGGAGTAATCTACTCAGAAAGAAGACACCAGGGAGGGTATAAATAAGCAGTATATGCCCCAGAAGATGGGGCATATAATGTTAGAACTAGTTATATCACTTCTTTGGAATATGAGTGAACTGAATGTCCTGAGAATCCATCTGAAGGCAGTTATGAGTTTACATCGCAAAGACTTGTCTTCGGAGAAATAATGTAATGACTTAGTCTCCTTAGATTCAAGTTGAGCATGTCTCCCCTTCCCAACTCCCTCTGACATTGACTGCTGTCCCAAACAGAGTTTCCATCCTTCAACCCTTCCTGGAAATCCAGAAGTAGCTCCTGGTGGTTAGGTGCATGGAGCTAAATGGGACAAGACATCTCATCACCTTCATAGCTTGGCCAGAGGCTTAGCTGTGGGTCATTGGGAAGAAGCTGAGGTAGACTGGCCCTGCTATGGCTCTCTATAAACACACACTGCCATCTTCCTGAGTGGTAGGACCTCTCAGGAGACTTAGCAACAACAACAACAAAAGCACATTGGCTAGGATCTGGTGGCTCCTGCCTATTATCCTTGCTACTCAGGAGACTGAGATCTGAAAATCATAGTTCAAAGCCAGCCAGGGTAGGAAAGTTTGTGAGACTTTTCTCTCCAATTAACCACCAAAAAAAAGTGGAAATGAAACTGCAGCTCAAGTGGTTAAGTGCCTGCCTTGAGCAAAAAAGCCGAGGGACAGTGTCTAGGCCCTGAGGTCAAGCCACAATACCAGTACACACATGCATACCCCCCCACACACACATGAAATAGTAAACTGGCTTGTTTTTGCTCACCCTGTTAATATTAAAGATATAGTATCATGCAGTAAGCTTACATGGAAAATCTTCTTGGGGGAAATTTTTGTTAATCAAATATCCAGGTAACTAGGAGGGGACCACACTTTTCTTGGGTACGTGCTTCCCACCCATCGCCCTTCCGGAATGAATATGCTCTTGGATTTGTGTGACATTCTCTCAATTCACAGGCAATCCCTGGGGAGCTGCCCCACAGAAATGTTGCTATATCTTTTAAATGTAAGGAAATTCCTCCAAGCCACTGGGCAGTAGAGATGAGGACAGCAAAACCGTTTTATTTACTGTTATTGTAGGATATTTTCTTTGTGTGGCCAGAGGAAACATGGACAATACTGAAGCAAGTATTTTATTTGGTAAAATGGCGCCAGTGATCACTAGAACTACATACAGGCAATGAGCCAGGCTTGTGCAGCTGGGTCTAGCTCCTGGGCCTAACCACAGGGATACACCTGTGAAAGGAAAAGACATGGAGGTGGTGGGGGAGACAGTCCACATGGTGAATATTTGGTAATAACTCTAATAGGTTTTAAGGAGACTAGCAAAACTCTTCAGAAAGCTAGGAAAGGCAATGTTCTTTTTAGGTAAGCATTCTCATTTGGAAGCTTCATAATTCTCTTTTGAGCTTTTTTTTTTTTTTTTGGTCGGTTGTGGGGCCTGAACTCTGGGCCTGGGCTCTGTCCCTCAGCTCTTCAGCTCAAGGCTAGAGTTCTACCACTTGACCACAGCACCACTTCCAGCTGCTTATGTGGTGCTGAGGAATCGAACCCAGGGCCTCATGCATGCAAGGCAAGCACTCTATCACTGAGCCACCTTCCCAGCCCCTTGAGCTTTTTGTTTTTTGACAAAATGGTTCTTCACAAATGCAAAGTGGATAATTAATGTCAGATAGGTAGAGAGAGAGAGGCTAGAGTCAGCTTCAACCAGAGCCTTGGGGAAGACCTTGATTAAAATATAACAGAACAGTAGCTACGGATGAATGGATTCAGACCCTTGACTTGGTCAAGTAGCTGTAAAGGATGCATCCCAGAAATAAGTTCATGGAGACCAAAGACACACTCTGAAAGTGTTTCAGATACTATAATACAAATTTACTTACAAGCTGGGTGCTGGTGGCTCACTCTGGAGGCTGAGATCTGAGGATCAAAGCCAGCCTGGGCAGGAAAGTCTGCTAGACTCTTATCTCCAATTAACCACCAGAAAACCGGAAATGCTGCTGTGGCTCAAGTGGTAGAGTGCTAGCCTTGAGCTGAAGAGCTCAGGGACAACACCCAGGTTCAGAGTTCAAGCCCCAAAACTGACAAAAAAAAAAATTACAATAGAAGACTGATTTTGCAATCCCTTAGTGAATAGTTGTGCTTAGAAAACAAATCAAGAACAAAATTTTGTCTAGTGAGCCAGATGCTGGTGGCTCACACCTGTAATCCTAGTTATTCAGGAAGCTGAGATCTAATCCAGCCTAGGCAAGAAAATTCATGAGACTCTTGTCTCCAATTAACCACCAGAAAACCAGAAGTGGCACTGTGGCTCAATGTGGTAGAACCCTAGCCTTGAGCAAAAAAAGCAGTGGGACAGCACCTAGGCCCAAGTTCAACCCAACAACTGACTGAAAAACATTGTCTAGTGAACACCTATCCAAAAGAAAGAAGAAAGGAAGGAGAGGAAGGAAAGAAAGAATGAAGGGGGGGAAGAGGAACGAAGGAAGGAATTGAGTGTTGATGAACCAAACATACTTCAGGGAGCTAGGAGTCACTCTTACTTATTATTAAGAACAGAATACACCTACTTACAGCCTCCTTCCTTTCAGTGCTTACTATAACCACCAAAATCGTCTTTAGTGAATTATGTTATTTGATGTTTAGCTACATTTGATGTTTTCCTGAGAAGATAGAATCCTTTCCACCTTTTCCATATGTGTACATAACGTGGTGGCCTATAAAGTTGTCTACAGTTGGCCAATTATATCTAATTCGTGTTGATTTATAATTTCCATTCCAGAAACTTCCATTTCCGAGGCTGTTTCTTTCCGTCTTTTCCCCTGAGTTTTGTGAGTGAGTTGCTCCATTGGAAGCTCCGCAGGGGATCTCCCTCTGTACATGGACTTGTTTTCGTCTTCTACATCTTAGGGTGTGTTTTGTGTGCCCCCATTTCCAATGGCTGTCAGAGACAATAGCAGGAATGAAAGCCCAGGCAGAAATCACAGTGTGTTTGTTTTCACTGTCTTCCAGTGTCATCTTGCATTACAACATATAAGAAGACACCACCTCCAGTCCCACCCAGAACTACCACGAAACCTTTCATTTCTATCACAGCCCAGAGTAGCACAGAGTCTGCGCAGGATGCCTACATGGATGGACAAGGCCAGAGAGGAGACATTATCAGCCAGTCTGGTCTCAGCAACTCCACAGAAAGCCTGGACAGTATGAAGGCTCTGACAGCCGCCATCGAGGCTGCAAATGCTCAGATCCATGGCCCTGCAAGTCAACATATGGGCAACAACACTGCCACTGTCACCACCACCACCACTACCATAGCCACAGTTACCACTGAGGACAGAAAGAAGGACTTCAAAAAAAACCGATGTCTGTCCATTGGAATACAGGTAACAGCTTCCCCGGGTTCTTTGAAATAGGAACCAAAACTAAGAAATCTAACACGTATGGTCGTTTGTGTTTGTTTGTTTAATCCTCAAGAGATTACTATTTTGCCACTTGAGATAGTATAGCTGTGTATAAAAACACCTGCCAATTAGTGGCTCTGATTTCTTAATTTTTAATTTTAATTTTGTTAAGCAGTACTGGGACATGACGTGAGAGCCTCATGCTCTTCTTCACTCCAGGCTATTTGCTCTGCATTTGACCACTTGAACCACATGTCCACTTCTAGCTTTTTGCTGGTTAACTGGAGATAAGAGTGTCTTAGATTTTTCTGCCCAAACTGGCGTTGAACCTTGATTCTCAAATCTTAACTTCTTGAGCAGCTAAGATTAAAGGCTTGAGCCACCGGCCCACATTTGAATTCCCTATATTTTAAAATGTGACCAAAATTATGAAAATATTTGGTCTGAAGATGCTATTCGCAGCTATTATTTTTATTCTCTAAATTGAATATGCAACTCCAACTGGAGAGTAATTCAGGGAACACAAATACAAACATAAAATGCCCCTCAATTCTTTTTTTTTTTTTTGGTCCGGTTGTGGGGCCTGAACTCTGGGCCTGAGCACTGTCCCTCAGCTCTTCAGCTCAAGGTTAGTGCCCTACCACTTGAGCCACAGCGCCACTTCCGGCTTTTTTCTTTTTGCTTATGTGGTGCTGAGGAATCGAACCCAGGGCCTCAGGCATGCAAGGCAAGCGCTCTACCACTGAGCCAACTTCCCGGCCCCCACCCCTCAATTCTTAATGTGAATTTTATTCTCAAACCTGAGGAATACACATCCAAGGATGTGTTATTAGGTTGTGTTATGTGATGTGAGGGGTATTAGGTTGTGTTATGTTATATTTGACCCCATTGAATAACTTTGTAGGAACAAAAATGGGAATTGCTTTTCACAGGTATGGGAAAGTGAGACCGGAGCAATTGGTATAGTATGGGAAAAAGTGTACATCAGTTCTGGTCTAGTTGTTGACTATTTAATCATGCATTTCATAATCATATAGCAGACAAAGCTGGACACGGATGACTCATACCTGAATCTGAGATCTGAGGATCGTGGTTCTAAACCACCCTGGGCAAGAAAGTCTATGATACTCTTATCTCCAATTAACCAGCAAAAAGCTGTAAGTGGGGTTGTGGTTAAAGTGCCAGCCTAGTATAAAAGCTAAGGGACAATACCCTGATCCTGAGTTCAAGCCCCAGTACTGGCAACTCAGCAGACTTGCAGTTCAGCTCATTGTTTCCTGCTTTTCTCAGGAAAACTTAGGCTCCTTCTGCCTTGTTGTTGTTGGTTTTTTTTTTTTTTTTTTTTGCACCTGTTTGGCGTGGGTTACCCTGCAGGAAACCCTTCTACAGAGAAGGGTCTCCTCTCCATTTTAGTGGTATGGATCATTCTGCAGGTGCCCACCCCGCATAATAACTTCTCAACATAATAGCCAATAAATCTATCCCCACCGAACCAAACCCAGGCACATAGAAAAGGCAGGCATGAGGTACAGCCTCACAACACTGCTGTATTTTCAGTCTGCTCTTCAAAGTTCACTTTTAAAGTGCAATTAATCTTTCTCTAGTAGCAACAAGTCAAAGGCCTCTTTCTAACATCCAGGTTTCCATAGTACACATTGTCTAGTTTCCTAAATGCATTTGTAGCATTAGGGTTGGAGTAGATGGATGACTGAGAGGAAAGGGCCCAAAGCCAGACCCCGCCCGTGTCTCCTCATTTCCATAAGCCAATTCTCCCATCCTTCAAAGCAGCTCAGGAGTGGGGAAAGAGGTTGGAGGTCTATTGGTCTCAGGCAAATTGATTGATCTTCCTGTGCTTTTGTTTCATTGTTTATTCTTCATAGGATTGTTTTAAAAATAGAGCTTTAAAGAAAATGTCTCACTTCTTCAGGGTGCTGGTGGCTCATGCCTGTAATACTAGCTACTCAGGAGGCTGAGAGTTAAGGATAGTGATTCCAAGACAGTCTGGTCAGAAAAGTCTGTGAGACTCTTATCTCCAATTAACCAGAAAGAAAGAAAGAAAACAAAAACAAACACTGGAAGTGAACCTGGCACTCGTGGCTCACTCCTGTAATACTAGCTGCTCCAGAGGCTGAGATCTGAGGATACTGGTGAGAAGCCAGCCTAAGCAGGAACTTCCATGAGATTCTTATCTCCAATAAACACCCCTACCCCCAAAGAAAAGCCAGAAATAGAACTCTGGGGTAGAGTGCTGGCTAGCCTTGAGCAAAAAGAAGTTCAGAGACAAAGTCTAGGCACTGAGTTCAAACCCCAAGACCGGCACAAAAAAACAAAGCTAGAAGTGGAAGATGGTTCCAGTTGTAGAGTAAGTCTTGAATGAAAAATCTAAGGAAAAATATTCAGTCCTGGGTTGAAGTCCCAATACTGGCAATAATTAATTAATTAATTAAAATATCTAACTCCTAAACCAGGCACTGTTGGCTCACATCTGTAATCCTAGCTACTCTAGAGGCTGAGATCTAATGATCAGAGTTCAAAGCCAGCCCAGGCAGGAAAGTCCATGAGACTCTTATCTCCAATTATCCATCAGAAAACCGGAAGTGGCACTCAAGTGGTAGTGTGTTCACCTTGAGCTGAAGAGCTCAAGGACAGCGCCCACGCCCAGAGTTCAAGCCCCACAACTGAAAAAATAAATACATAAATAAATGTGATAGTTGTACATAAATGTGAATGTACTTAGTACCACTGAACAGTCCACTTAGGTGATTAATAATTTTTAGTACATATCTTTTGCTATAATAATTAAAAATACCTACCTTACTATCCCTGGCACATGGTCATCACTAAGGAATGTTAGCTTACCTCTACTTCCTCAATAGAAAGTTCTTTCTGTTTTCTCCCTTCGCTTGGTTACTTTCAATAGTTCATCTCTCCCTAGCTCAGAACTTTTTTTTTTAGTGCCAGTACTAAGACTTAAACTCAGGACATGAGTGCTTTTCCACTCAAGACTGGTATTTTACCACTTGAGCTACAGCTCTACCTCCAACTTTTTGCTGGTTAATGAGAGATAAGAGTCTCACAGACTTCCTGGACCTCAGGGGATTGAACCACAATCCTCAGTTCTCTGTCTCCAGAGTAGCTAGGATTACAGGCCTGAGCCACCAGTGCCCTGCCACTTTGTTATTTTTAATAATATACATATATATTATATATCTTTTTTTTTCTGGTCTTGGGGCTTGAACTCTGGGCCTGGGCGCTGTCCCTCAGCTCTTCAGCTCAAGGCTAGCACTCTACCACCTGAGCCACAGCGCCACTTCCGGCTTTTTCTGCTTATGTGGTGCTGAGGAATCAAACCCAGGGCCTCATGCATGCAAGCAAGCACTCTACCACTCAGCCACCTTCCCAGTCCGCCAAGTTAATTATTTTAGAGCAATACAAATCAAATGAAATATTACTACGGCTTAAAAGTAGGCTTTAAAATAAAAACGTCATATTATCTCTGACTCATAGTTGATAGCTTAAAACAATAAAGAAAAGCAAAGAAGACAATTTCAATGCATTTAAATCTTTTGCAAGCATTTCGTTTGTCTTTTTTTTTTTTTTAAGCAGATCTTGGGGCTTAAATCCAAGGCCTGGGCACTGCCACTTGAGCCACAGTGCCCATAATAATGTTTTGGAAGCTTATTAGAGATAACAGTCTTATGGACTTTCCTGCCCAGGCTGGCTTCAAGCCATGATTAGGGACAATGCCCAGGCCCTGAGTTCCAGCCCCAGGACCAGCACGAGAGAAACAGACAGTCAGACAGACAGAGGGAAGAGAAGAGTGAGAGGAGGGAGGCAGAGAGACAGAGGGGAGAGAGACAGACAGACAGACATAGGGGAGAGAGAGAGAAGAGAGAAGGAAAGAAAAGAATACTATTGCATTTCACAAAGACCAGCAGAGTCAAAGAGCATGCTGATAAGGTAGTGAGGGTTCTTCTCAACAAAGAGTCTACATGTAGCAAAACAGTTCAGCAACACTACAGATGTTTTTGGTGAGCTGGGTATTTGTTTTTCTAGGGAGGCACTGAAGTGAGTCAAGTGTTTGTTTGATGATTTCTTCAGGTGGATGATGCTGAAGAACCTGAGAAAACGGGAGAGAACAAAGCACCCAGTAAGTTCCAGTCTGTGGGCGTACAAGTAGAAGAGGAGAAGTGGTGAGTCCACATGCATGCATCCTTTTTCATCTTGCTACTGGCAAGTACAGGGGAAGTAGTAGTCTTCATGTGGGGCCTACAGACAGACAGAGACAGAGGGGAGAGAGAGGAGAAAGAAGGAAAGAAAAGAATACTATTGCATTTCACCAAGACCTGCAGAGAGTCAAAGGGCATGCTCTGTGTGTGTGTGTGTGTGTGTGTGTGTGTGTGTGTACATGCCTCTATGATTGAAGGCATAGAATATTTGCCTTTCAAGCCATAGACTCTGGGCTTAATCTTCAATACCCCACAAAAATTTAAAACAATAAAAATAAGACATAAAAATTATTACAATATATAACACCTAACAACAGAACTTGAAAATACCTGGGGCAAGGGCTAGCGGTACAGCTCAATGATAAGTATTTGCCTTGCACTTGTGAGAGAGCTTTAGTTAGATCCCCAGCACAGAAAAACAACCCAAACCACAACAAAAACAAGTGCAAGGAAGAAAGCTCTTAGAACTCTAAAGAAAAGCAGATAATTCCACTATTAGAGTTGGACAGTTCAGAAACTCTTTATCACAAATGGACAGATAAAAAAAGCAGAAGATCAATAAGGGTACAGTTGACTCAACAACATCATCAACCAATAATTGGATAGAATTGCCATCTATAAACTGCCTCATTCAACAGCAGTAGATTACACTGGCTGGTCAAGCTCACGCAGAACGATTACCAAAAAAGACTGGGTCACACATTCAGCCATAAAACAAACCTTAACAAATTTAAAAGAATATAAATCAAACACTGCTGTCAGACCACAGTCAAATTAAACTAGAAATCAATGACAGAATGATAGCCGGATATTCTCAAAATAGTTGTAGATTAAACAACACCCTTAAATTACACTTGCAACAAAACACCCAAAATAAAAATCTAAGAAATTATAATATATTTTGAACTAAATGAAAATAAAAAATCTAACCACCAAATTTACGGGATATACCAAAACAGTGCTTAGATGGCATTAAATGCAAATAGTTAAAAAGAAGAAAGCCAGGAGCCAGTGGCTCACACCTGTAACCCTAGCTACTCAGGAGACTGAGATCTGAGGATCATGGTTTGAAGCCAGCCCAGGCAGGAAAGTACATGAGACTCTTGTCTCCAATCAACCACTCAAAAACCTGAAGTAGAGCAGTGGCTCAAAGTATAGAGTGCAAGGAGGGAGAGGAGGAAGAGAAGGGGAGGGAAGGAAGGAGGGAGAGGAGGAGGAGGGGGAAGAAGAAGGAGGAGGAGGAAGAGCTGGAATCACTTGTCTAAGCTTCCACTTCAGTAAACTAGAAAAATTAAATTCAGAGCAAATAGAAGAAAGGAAATAATAAATATTTTAGAACAAGAATAGAAATCAGTGAAATTGAAGACAGAAAATTAACAGGAAACACGGATGTTTTAAAGTCTCATGACTATGACAAGTCCCTTAAAGGTACAATGAAATGGAAGAATGATTTCTTTTGGCTCATGGTCTCAGAGGTTTTGGTTTATGGTACTCTGGCTCTATTGTTGTGGTAAAGTCAGAATATCATGGCAGAACTTGGAAGAACAAAGTTGCTTACCTATTGGTAGGCAGGAAGCTGAGAGAGAGAGAGAGAGACAGAGACAAAGACAGAGACAGAGACAGGGAGACAGAGACAGGGAGACAAGAGACAGGAAGACAGAGATGGCAATAGGAAGGGTCTAGGGACATACTGTATATTCCCAGGGCAACTCCTTCAGTGACATACACTCCTTCTAACAAGGTCTAACATCCTACTTTCTACCACCTCCCAAAACAGCACCCCCAGCTGAGAAGCAAGCCTTTAACTCATGGGCTTTATAGGATTCACCTTGTATCCAAAACATAGCAATCAACAAAACCAAAATATGACTGTGTGTGTGTGTGTGTGTGTGTGCCAGCCCTGGGGCTTGAACTCAGGACCTGGGTATTATTTGAACTATTTTGCTCAACGCTATTGCTCTACCACTTGAGCCATAGCTCAATTTCCAGCTTTTTTGGTGCTCAATGGAGGTAGGAGTCTTACAGAGCTTTTCTGCCCAGGCTGGCTTTGATCTGTAATCCTCAGATCTCAGTCTCCTGATTAATTAGGGTTATGGCCACAAACCTTGGGTGCCTGGCCAAAATATGATTCTTGAAAAGATAAATAAATTGATAAGCCAGGCAAACAAAGAAAGAAGATTGAAGACAATTTATCATCATGAAACATGAAAGGAAATGTATCATTTCAGCTATCCTGGTCATTAAAAAAATAACAGACAAATATAGTTCAAGTGGTAAAACACCAGCCTTGAGCGAAAAAAGCCAAGCATAGGAATGAGGCCCTGAGTTTAAGCCTGAGTACTGACACAAAAATAAAAGATAGCCAGGTGCTGGTGGCTCACACCTGTAATCCTAGCTACTCAGGAGGCTGAGATCTGAGGATCGAGGTTCAAAGCCAGCCCGGGCAGGAGAGACCCTGAGACTCCTATCTCCCAATAAACCACCAGAAAACCGGAAGTGGTGCTGTAGCTCAAGTGGTAGAGCACTGGCCTTGAGCTGAAGAGCTGAGGGACAGCACCCAAGCCCAGAGTTCAAGCCCCACGACCGACAAAAAAAAATAAAAGATAAAGTTTTAATTTTCATTTATTTTTAAATTTTTTGTTGGTTGTAGGGCTTGATCTCTGAGCCTAGACACTGGCCCTGAGCTCTTTAGCTCAAGGCAAGCACTCTACCAACTGAGCCACAGCACCACTCCTGATTTTCTGGTGGTTAACTGGAGATAAGAGTCTCACAGAGTTTCCTGCCTGGGCTGGCATTGAACCTCAATCCTCAGATCTCAGCCTCCTGTAGCCAGGATTACAGGCATGAGCCACCAGCACCCAGTTTAAAGTTTTAATTCTTAAAGGTGGATAGATATTATTCTTAATGTCAGTGTGTTATGGGAGAGTGGTTTAAATTCTCTTAAACAATACCTTACCTGTTGGATGGTGTACACACACATTTCTTAGTCTATTATTGTTTCAAAAAAGAATTTCTTTAAAGGTTAAAGTTTAACAAAGCAACATTATCACCTTTTCTCAAAACATAGGAGAAAGCCATCTGAATCTTGTATTCTACTTCAGACCCTGCCTGCAGCCAACCAGTTTATCTTTCAAAATTAACACCTCAACTCTTTACCATTTATAAGAATGCGAAGTATGGCCTACCCAACAGTCACCCCAACATCAGATAAGCCACTTTTGTCATTGTTTAAAAATGTGTTAAACATTTATTGAGTTATTGGTTTGCAGGATGGTCAGTTCCTCAATAAACTGAGTGATTTACTTCAGACACATCCTTGAAAGGGCTGGCAGACCTGAACTTTCCAAAACATACCCTTTGTCAAAGGTCACTTTATAGTAAAGCACTATAAATAAGCATTTGAATTGATGTTAGCCATTGTTTTCAACCTTTTTGTCAAACATGAAGGGATTACCTTTATCTTTTGGCTCTAAACTATAATTCTTTTTATAAGTTTGCTGATAGTAATTCATTTAGATAGGATCTTTAAAAGCAAATATGGTCACTAGAGAGAACTTAATGACTTGAGGATTTTTTAAAAATTATGTAGTGTTAATGGTGAGCTTGCTGTTTTCACACTGAATGGCCACTAACAATCCATCTCTTCCTTCCTCAAATAAACAAGCTGATAAAAAGCACCAACCTAACAAAAAAGTGAGAAAAGAAAGAAAACAGAGCCAGAAAAGATAGGACAAAGAAAGCCAGATTGAAAGACTTAGTAAGAAGCCTAGAGACTCATTACCTTTTGAATGATCACAATTTAGGAGCCCAAACTAACCCAGAAAAGCCCTCCATTGAATTGTTTGTTAAGAAATAGTCTTGCAAATTTAAGGTGCTCTTCAGTGTTTCAAATCAAAATAAAATAATCTATTGGTAAACAAATAGCAGGCACCAGATAATGCCCAGCTTTAAGAAGAGATATGGAAATGAAGTATTACAAATCTTGCTGGAGCAAGGCCTGGTGGCTCACACCTGTGATCCTCGCTACTCACGGAGACTGAGGCTTGAGGATCGAGATTCCAAGTCAACCCAGGCAACAAATCCTTGAGACTCTGACCTCCAATTAACCAGCAAAGAGCCAGTAGTGCTGTGGCTTGAGTGGTAGAATGCCAAACTTGAGTAAAAAAAGTTCAGGGAGAGCACCCAGGCCCAGAGTGCAAGCCTCAGCACTGGTGTGTGTGTGTCTGTGTGTCTGTGTGTGTGTACACACACAGAAAATCTTCCTGGGACACGTGGAGGCAGCCAGAACACCCTCAAAATGCCATGGATATCAACTGTACCATGTGCAACCTTGCAGAGGAGGAGACTCTACACCAACACATACTATCTAAAGGTCACTAGTTTAAATTTGCCAGCAGCAGCAGGTCAGAGATCTGTGAGCATGTGTTGTTATGAAATAAGACTGCCTCTCTTAAGGACTCAGTGAAGAAATTGATCCTTCCATCAAACATTAGCTAATGCTCTGCCAAATTTCACAGTGCAGCTAGTAGCTCTCTGTCTATAGGATCCACTGGGCACTTGTTTACTGGTATGCAGGATGGATCTTGAACAATGCAGGCAGATCCAGGCAATGCCTCCTCCCGAGCAAAGCCGGCAGCATCCCTCCCATCCTCTCTCATCCTTTTGACCGCTCTTCAGGAATTTCTATGAAGTCCTCTAGCCTTTCAAGCAGATAATTAGCAAATCTAGTAAACCAATCCTTTCTGTTGACTAAGATGAGAAAGGGCAGCTGCTCCCAGGAAGCTCCCCTTTCCTTAAGTAACAATTGTATTTAAGAGTGATTCAAACTGCACTTTGTTACCTGAGCTCACTAGTGGCTCACGCTCTAACAGTGGACACAAAGAGGAAGACTATTATGTTATTGTTCCCATGATAAAAAAGTAGTATGTAAATTTGCTGGGAGACAACTGTATAGGACCAGGTTT